TGTGTTATAGGTGAAAGTGAAAAGACTAGAGTTAAGGCAGTGTAGAAAATGTTTACAACACCCGGTGAATTGCTTATCAAATTCATTGCGGTAGCTGTAAATTTTCTCTATAAAAGGAATCCTGAGCTGATGAAGCTAGACACACCAATCAGAAGAGAAAAAGTGAGAGAGAATTAGACAGTTAGAAAGTTTTATCCGAGAGAGAATTCTATTACGGTACGTTTGGATGAAGGAAATAAATTTGGGATTTTGACAAAACTCAAAATTTCTAAATTGATATGAACCAATTCCCATGTTTGGATAAAAAAAACATAGAAATTTAGAAATTCCGTGTGGGAAAAAACATGGAATTTGGAGATCATAAATCCCAACTTTAAATTCTATCTAAAAGTCGTCATTTCTAAAATCCTAAGAGAGATTGAGTTTTTAAAAAAGATAACTTTAAAAATAAAGGTTAAATTCCGTGTTTTAAATCCATCACCCAAACAAGAAACTTTACAAATTCTAGAACATTAATTTTCATCATTTTAAATTCTGTCATTTAAGAAATCCTTTGTACTTTTAAATTTGCTCATCCAAACGCACTGTTAGTGTAATACCACAACAGTAAATACAATCTCACCCCAATATTCAGTGGTACTTTCATACTTTGTCTATTTTATAAGAAGAGGGGCAATAATTCGCACAAGTGTTTTCTGTTTTTAATGAAAACAAAAATTACAAAGAAGATACTCTACGAATCTTTAAATAAAATAAATAAAATTTGAAAATGTATAAAACCTGAGGTGGGAAATTGATAAACCATATATAATTCTTTTATTTTCCTGCCCTATAGCTGATATGGTATGAAAGGGAAGAAGACTAGGGTAATTGTAATCTAATAGATGCTCATTCTACCGCAATAATAATGCTAATAATAATATAAGAGTGCTGTTATTTCTATCCCTTTGTCCTATTTTTTCACTCACCATGTAAAATTAAAAACACACAATCATATCTTTCTACCCACCATTATTCCTAAAATACCATTTAATTATTAAAGTAAAATAATACTTTTTATAATTTAAAAACAAAAACAAAAACTTCCTTCTCCCACCTGTAGCCACCCCCAACTCCCACCCCAACCCCGATTCCTCCCCCGCCGGCGAGAATCCTACAGATTTCTACACCTTCAACCCCACCCATGTTCTATATTTTTAATTAATTTTATTGTTTTACAATAACTCCTTCTGCAAAAAAATATGAAGATGATAATTATGTCTTCAAATTTTTTTTTTTGGCAGAAACCCAAATTTCAGAGAGGATGGGGATCTAGAATCGATACATAGAGATTGCGGAGGGGGTGGGTGTGGTGAGAAATTGTAGGGAGGGTGGGTGGGTATGAGGGCAGGGACGATTTGGAATTTCATTTGTTGACTTTGCCAAAGCAAAGGAGTCAGCTTGCTTAAACAATGGAGTCCAAGTGCTTCATCGTCCCAAAACAAACTCTAATCTATTCAGAATGCAACTACGTTGTGAAATGAGAGAACCTGTTTCATCTGGTCTTGTTGTTTTTGGTGTTGCGGTGGCAGTGGCTTCTAGCACCGAGGATGAAAGACCTTTAAGGAAGAAGCCAACATGTCGTGAAGGGAGAGAGGAGAGAGAGAGTTTTTGTTTTAAAAACATTTATTTTATTATAATTTTACTTAATTTTATTATTTAAAATGTTTTTAAAAAAAAGTTTTTTCATAAGTCCTTAGAAGTCATTTTACAAAGGGTAATTTGTCTTTAAAATTTTGAATATAAAATGGGTGAAAAAATAAGATAAGGGGTGGAAATAACAGCACTCTAATGTAAACATATCGAGATACTTATTGTTGTGACTGTAACACCGCATGCTTCCATGGTATGAAAGAGAAGAAGACTTAGAGCATCCACAATGATGCTCTCTATTTCTTAGCTAAAATTTAGCTAAAAACATAAGAAAGCTATTTTAGAAGCTCTTTAAAAAATTTCAACTCTAACCATACTCCCTAATTTGGAGAGTCATAAATGCTATAACTCTTTTTTGATTGGTCAATCTCTATTAAAAAATAAAATAAAAAATAGTTTATATTAAATAAAGGTTTGAAATACTCATTCAATAAAGTAGCATTAAATTATAGGGAGCCACTAGGAGTCATTTCTCTCTTCTCAGATTTAGGAGCTCCTAGAAGACTCCCTATTTTATGAGGTGGATAGGGAGCGTGGTTGGAGTTGCATTTTTACGATTCCTCCCTAAAATTTGTCTAAGGAGGTAGTTTAGGGAGCCCATTATGGATGCTCTTAGGGTAAATCACGTCATTTTCTAAAATAAACGAGGACAATACATGCATATTGAAATATTCATTAAAGAACCCTGCATGCTTCCATTCACATCAACTTTTAAAAGCAGCATCAGCTGCTTCTAAAAACTACTGCTAGTGACTTACAAAATTGTATGAATGGTTCTTGAGGATTTTTTGTGACATTAATAGTTTTTAATGTTATGGCTTTCTGTCATAAATAGTCCATGTCGTTAGAAATTTTGTTAACTGTGGCGTGGAAGATAAGTAGAGCCCACATATCCAATCACCTTGTGACATGTGGATAAAAAATAATAATAATAATTTTTTTTCATGAAAATTCCATTTTTTTATATGAAAATTCCATTTTTTTATGCAACTTTTCATCCCCTTCCACTACTCTATCTCTCTCCGCCTCTGCCCTCGCTCTCCACCCTCTGCCCCCTCTCTCTCCCTTTGCTCTCCCCTTCTCCTCTCTATCCTCTCCTTGTGGTAGAGAAAATGTATAGTTATAAAACTATATCTTCGTGGTAGAGAAAGGAGTGTATAGTTGTATATCATACAAGATAATATAACCCATTTTCAATCAAAATAATAATATAACCTATATATCTTTCTACATCTTTGTATAGTTGTGTATCATAACCCACAACCTAGGAATCTCCCTCTGTTGTTTTCTTGCCCACTGCCACCCACAATAAAAAATGGTCTCTGGGATTCTTTTAATGGTCTCTGTTTTTTTTTAACACTGCCACCACCAACCTGCAACCCACGCCCAACTCCCCTAACCCTCTCCCTCTGTATTTTCTCTCCTCCTTTAACCTGCCCCTTTGTTTTATAAAAAATTCGATATAAGTCCAAAATCGAAAATAGAATTTGGATGTCATCCTCGTAGTTGTTGTTGTTGATACAAGTCCCTTGACTTTTGTGCCACATATGATTACATTCCTTTTTGATTTTGTGATATTTACATATTATTTTTTTCATTTTAAAATTACTTAATTATTCCCATCATGCCCCTAAAAATTAAATAAGGTAATTAACTTTTATGATAATAATTATGATATTGTCTACCCTAAATTAATTCAGACTCTCTCACAGCCACAATCTTTGCAACTTTCACCAACAAGTCAGTGGAGCCAAATTCTTTTCCCATTAAGCCCTCCAACTTCTCTAAGAAGTCAGCTATCACATACCCTATGACTCTTCTATAATCGGCATCGTAAGTTTCATTCGAAACCAAAATCCTTGTTTGATTGATTTTCTAACTGGGTATTTATCAGGTTGCTTATAATTTGCAAGGTGAGGTATGCAAAGTGATAAGGTTGGATATTGGGTCTTTGTGGTTGTAATTCTTTTAGGTTGAATGGCTTATAGGTCGGGGCATCTATTCGATTGGCAAAAAGCGATAAGGTTGAGTGGGATGTTTGAAAAGGCTTACACCAGATACTACAATTCCATGTATGTTGGTTGTTTGTAATCTGTCTTTATTTACCTAGTATTTAGGTATATTATCTTATATTTACCTAGTAAGTAGGTACATTATCTTATATCTATCTAATAATTAGGTATATTATCTTATATTTACCTAGTAATGAGGTACATTATCTTATATTTACCTAGTAACTAGGTACATTATCTTATATTTACCTAATAATTAGGTATATTATCTCATATTTACCTAGTAATGAGGTAAATATTTGTTGGGAAGACATCATCAATAATACTCCTACTTTCATTGTTTTATATGAACTTTTTTTTATTTGTTCATATGCTTGAATCCTCACAAATCAACCTTATGGATAGGTACAGTTTTATGTTGGTGCTTGCCTATGGGTCTTAATTTTTATTGTAAGATAAAATATATGGGTCATTACTTTCATGACTTAAATTATATTTTATCTATATATTAGGTAAATATTGCAATAGTTAATTGTTAAAGTATTTTACTTGATGAAATGTTTTTTTTTGGGACAGATGAGTTATGGCGGCAATAGAAGGATTCAAAATTTAAAATATGAAATCCATTTAGAAGGAAAGAATCGATACATTAATTTGGATTTTTAATTAATGTTCTTTTTTATTTACCTCAAAGGGTAAAATTTACACAAGAAAAAATTAATAAAAGTCAATGGACCCAAATCTACAACTAAAAAGGTGTGGACTAAATCCAATGACGGGTAGAGATTTTGGACTTAGATCGAAGAATCCCTTGTTTTTAATTATTTTAAGTTGTTTGAATAAATGTTTGTGTAAAAGGAAATGTGAAACTACCTTGTGCAAGTAATTATTTTGCAAAATATACAGAGGGAGAAGGGTAGGTTGCGGGTGGGCATGGGGTGGTCTGGTTGTAGAGACAAGAAAAAAACATAGGGAGACCACAGGGAGGAGAGAGGGTAGAGGGAAAGAGAGATAGAAAGGCTACATGGATTTTTAATGGATTTTCATAAATAAAAAAATATTTATTTATTTATTTAATTCACATGTTATGATGTGATTAGACATGTGAGCTCCACTTATCTTCCAGACACTTTTTCATTCAGAATTTTAAAACCACAGGAACTCCAAACTAAGCCTTATAAATACAGCTACAAGTCTACAACAAAGTTACACTCGGAAGTCCAAAGGAGAGCTTAGAACGACTGTGGTGAAGGTCTCAAGCAGCAAATATTCTTTTTATAGAGGTTTAAAAGATTGATGGCTATGGGAAATTTCTCATTACTTGCTGCTGCTGCAAGAAGGTATATTATAATTTATATATGCATCTATTTATTTTCTTTTATTTACTTTTTTTTTTCCTCTTCACACCTAAAATCTTATTATTTTCATTTTATCCTAACATGTCCGAATTAAAACAAGATGATTGTATGCTTCTTTGTTTTTTTCTTTTGTTTTCTAGGATGGTCGTAGATGTCATGACTATGGCTCTGGTAACTATCATGGCTGTGTCCTAAATTTCTTTTTGAATTCTAATTATGTTTTTAAAAAATAATAATAAAAAGAGGATGGATATAAGATGGAAAAAGAAATAGAATTCAATCCTCTTTGTGGTTGGATTTTGGGTCCTTACTTGTTTCATTATAACTTTTATATTAAATGAATGTTTTATATAAATTTTTATTTCATGAAAAATAAATGAAAATAAAATCTATAAAATAGACCCAAGGGTGTACTAAATGACCATGGTGGGCTGTAGCCCAAGTAGATTTTGAAGGGGAAAAAAGGTCTATTTGCTGCCTTTGGGCGAAAGGTTTTTTAAGGTTAAAAAAAAAGGCTATATGGCCCACCATCAAATACAACACATAAGATTCGGAAAATGTATTTATAGTAAATTTAGGTTTTAGCCACAAAAAAAATTTCACTTTTGGAAAAAGCCAAAACTTTTTCAAAAAAGAAATAAAAATCTCTTAACTTTCAAACCAAAGACATGCAAATGTAAAGGATTTCTTAGGAAATCCAAAAATAAATAAAGGCAATTTTGTCCATTTTGGCTTCTTTTAAAAAATTTCTCTCTCCTTTGGTCTTTTTCAAAGTCACCCTTTTTTTTTGTCAAATCAATTTGTGTTCTCTGTTGCCCATGACAGTGTTAATGAAATATTCTTTTTTGAATAAAAAAGGGAAAAGCTATTTAATATTGGACGGTCTCCTCGTAAATCTTTTAATCCACAATTGTCGACGCAGTAAGTAATTGAAATTCACAAGTAGGAAGAGACTTTCAAAAATGAAACAGTATGTTAACTATTGTTTTGTATTTACAACTAATATGTATATGTATATATGTGAAATTGAATTATTTATATTTTGCACTTTGTATATCTGAAGCTTATTTTGGTTGATACCAAGAAATTTAATATGTATTTATTTTATGATAAATTCTATTGAAAATTGGTCAATAGAGCTATGAATTAGAGCGGTTTATATGATTTAATATATATTTTTATTTATAGAAAAACTACAAAATCTGTAAGTTAAAAAAAATTATTAGATTTTAAGCTATAATTTTTAGGTAGCTCACCCATTGATAAATTCCTAGTTTTGCCCTAGTCACATAAGGATATTGTACAGGAAAGACAAATAAATATTGAAGTTAATTACATTAAAACTCTTTGAGATATATATATATATATATATATATAGGGGGCGGATCCGTGGCACCGTAAATTTGACACAAGTTTTGACACAATTTTTTAACCATTAGATTAGGCTACAATGAATGGTTAAGATTAAACAAATTAATTCTTTTTCTTTAAATAATTATTTGTTTAAATTAATTTAATTAACTTACTATAATATTTTATCTCTCTTCATTTATGTTTTCCCAACTTCCTAAAAGCATTAACATATTCTCTCACGTCATCTTCTTCTTCATGCCTTCACTTCTGTTTTTTCTTCTTCTTCCAAATCTTCCTTCTGCACTTGACAGTTTCTCTATCACTACCAGCACTAAACAAGAAGTAGCTCTTCTCCCTCCCATATTTCACATGTTAGCCATTAATTTTTTCCCCCTAAGATTTCAATCAATATAATAAATAAATAAATGGTATGATCTAATTCTCTGAGTATGAAATTTTTTTTTCTGATCTTTTTTTTTATTCGTTTGGGGTTTGGTTCAACTACTGTCTCTTTCTATCTTGCAGCAAAATTTGGAGAGGTTTATCTTGCAGTCTTGTATGTTGGTTCTTTTGTTATTTTCTTGAGCTTTGAGTCTCTAAATCCTTGGATTACTTTCAATTCAAATTTCTTTTTCCTCTTACATTTGTGGATTTCTTAATGTCTTTTACCATGAGAAGTTCAAGTTCATTCTCAAACAGTTTAGCATCTAACTGTAGCAAAAAGTATCCATAGCTTCTTAGCACAATTAACAATTAAGATTTTCAAACAATCTCCATAATATTTAGCGAAAATTGCATGAAGTGTTGGAGTGGAAAAATCTGAAATAGATCCTTGTGTGTTTGGAGATCAACTGAGATGAGAACTTTGTTTCCAGATAAAGGAAAAACAATTAAATAAAAAAAAGTTCAAACTCAAAACGTGAGAATAAATGAGATTGGAGGAGATGGAGAGATTTTAGCCTACATTTATGCTACCTTGAAAAGTGGTGAGTTTAATATTTTATTTTATTTGTTATGTTATCAAAATAAAATAAATAAATAATAAAATCACATTTAATCTTAGCCCTTGAAAGTACTTGCATCTAAAGGCTATAAAATTGTGTCAAAACTTGTGTCAAATCCGCCCCCTATATATATTTATACAAATATTTATACAAGTGAGAGTCTAAATTACTCTAATTAATCTAATCTTCAAGAAAGGGAATTTGAACTTGGGGTGCAAAGGCAGGGCTCTTTGCCGTGTCAATTAAATTATGAACTTATGATTTAATCTTTGCACCTTTGACGAATACCATAGCACATTTAAATTATGAACCTATATTTGCTAATTATCTTACAAGAAGAAGACCAGTGGAGACTAGGGATCGGACACTAAAACTCTATTTTATTTCAAAATTTTCCCCTTGGTAATTTTTATATGAAGTTCATTTTCCCCTTTGTCGTTCTAAATCCAACTTCCTTAATTACATTGAGTGGAACACAAGACTTTCACCATTTAGGAGTGATTTGCCATTGTTATCATGTTTTTTGTTGAAACTCACACTGCTCTGTAAATACTGAAGGCTTGAAGGTAAAGTGGCCCTAATCACTGGTGGGGCGAGCGGCATAGGAGAGTCCACTGCAAGACTCTTCTCAAAACATGGAGCTAAAGTTGTGATTGCAGATGTGCAAGACGACTTTGCTGAATCTGTTTGCAGAGACCTAAGCCCTTCGTCCACTTCGTTTGTCCATTGCGATGTAACGAAAGAAGAAGATGTCGAAAACGCTGTCCAAACAGCCACAAACAAATATGGAGAGCTAGACATCATGTTCAACAATGCAGGTATAATTGGCACAAATAAACCCAACATCCTTGACAATGACAGGGTAGAATTTGAGCAAGTGATTAGGGTAAATCTGGTTGGTGCGTTTTTGGGGATCAAACATGCAGCTCGCGTTATGATCCCAGCTGGAAAAGGTAGCATAATCAACACTGCTAGTGTTTGTTCTACCATCGGGGGTTGCGCATCACATGCATACACAAGTTCAAAGCATGGTTTAGTAGGGCTGGTAAGAAACACAGCCGTGGAGCTTGGACAACACGGTATTCGTGTGAATTGTGTGTCACCGTATGTAGTTCCCACGCCTTTAGCGAAGGAGTTCTTTAAGCTTGATGATGATGGAGTTCATGGTGCTTATTCCAACCTTAAAGGTGGGGTTCTTAGGGCAGAAGATATTGCTGAAGCTGCTCTTTACTTGGGAAGTGATGAGTCAAAGTATGTTAGTGGGCATAATCTTTTGGTAGATGGAGGCTACACAATTGTGAACGCAGGGTTTTGCATGTTTGAACAAGCTTGAGAAAAATGTTCAATGTAATAAGTTGGCAAAATAAATAATTTGCGCAGAGTCTCTTACGAACCGTTACTTGTGATATTCATGTTTGCCACATAACATAGCAGCTTCCTCCAGTGGCAGTAATACTAAGCCAGGAGAAAGGGATGAAATAGTCCATTGTCTGAGATCATGGTAATATCTGAAGGATTCTGATAGCCTTGTTTATTGTTTCATGCAGAATTTGCAGATCCAATTGTATGGCTAAACATCACATTTGTGTACCTTAAAATGACCACCACCAATTTTTTGTCCCTTAAAATGAAGACAACCAATCCATTTTTTCTGTGCCATCACACGCATACCCTATCCTGATTGTACGAAAGAGATGTTGTAAATATGTGGATGGCCCACAACTATTAGAATGAAGACTTTTGTGTGTTATAGGTGAAAGTGAAAAGACTAAAGTTAAGGCAGTGTAGAAAATGTTTACAACACCCGGTGAATTGCTTATCAAATTCACTGCGGTAGCTGTAAATTTTCCCTATAAGAGGAATCCTGAGCTGATGAAGCTGATGAAGCTAAACATATTGAGATAATTATTGTTGTGACTGTAACACTGTTCGTAATGTTGTTAAACTAATCCGCAAATTTTTTCACCCATATATTTGACGTTAAATTATATTATCCATTTATATTATAATAACATGTAAGTTTATAATAACATCATGTTGTCGTGCGTTAGTGTCCCATAAAAAATTTATCCTATAATTGTATTGAACATAATTGAGTTCAATCACATATGGTGTGAGTAGTAGTCGGTAGCACAAATAATTGTTCTAAATGTAAGCATATGGTGTGAAAAGTATTCATAACGTGCTGCATAAAATTCACATGTGTTGTTTGAAAGTTCTAAATATAAGCATTTGGTGTGGTGTGAAGAGTATTTATAACGTGATGCATAAAATTCACCTGTGTTGTTTGAAAGTTCTAAATATAAGCATGTGGTGTGAAAAGTATTCATAACGTGTTGCATAAAATTTACATGTGTTGTTTGAAATCAATTTAGGGTTAGTTTGGTATTTCTGTGTTTTTATAAAAAATAAAAAAATAAAAACTGCTTATGTTGTGTTGTCAGAATAAATAGCTGTGAAATGAAGCAATGAAGTATTTGGTAATCTATATTTGTAAAAGTGTTGTGAGTATAAAAAGCAGTGTTATAACGTTTGGTAACTTTTTTCAAGAAGTGCTGTGATTGTGTATAATGACCAAAAAGGGTATGATATTGAAATTGATATTTATGTTTTTTTTAATTAAAATTTTTTAATATTTATGTTCTTTTACAATACATTTACAATTTTTTTTTATAATCTTAATAGTAAAGTAGTAATATACACTAAAAAAATAAAAATAAAATTTGAGAAGGCCACTTTTCTTTCTTTTTCTTTTTTAAATTTTTTTTTTTTTTTTTTTTTTTTTTTTTTTTTTTTTTTTTTCTCTCTCTCTCCATCCTCTCCCTCCTCCGCCTCTTCATTCAACAAACCAACAGCCCAAAGGCACATCAACAACCCAGTCGCCACCATCCCACCATTTCTACCCACAAACCCAATCCCACCCAGTGCATACACCCACCCATCACGATCAAGAGGTGCCTGCCTGGTAGTGCCTTTGCATACTGAATTTTATCATGCCCTATCCTCCCTCATATCCTTTTCTTTTCTTTTTCATCATCCCCTCTCCAGTCTATCCCTTTCTACCCCATCCTAAAATTTGAAAAAAACACCCTTCATCCTCTGTCCCGTCAGCCTCCAGCCACCGCCTCCGCGCCTCACCTCAAGATCTCCTCGGCCCAACGCCATAAAACAGATCTGGGTAGGTATGGGTGCTGGTTTGGGTTGGGTTTGTGAGTAGGGATGGTGGGTTGGGTTTGTTGAAATGTCGAAAAAATAATTTGGAGATATAAGAGATCTGTGAGAAAAGTGAGAGATTAATGGAGAGTGGGAAGAGAGAGCTACAGAGGACTGAGGTAGGAATGGGTGATCGTGAAAAATGAAGAGGGTAAATCCGTCATTTTCTAAAATAAACGAGGACAATACGGGCATATTGAAATATTCATTAAAGAGCCCCGCATGCTTCCATTCGCATCAACTTTTAAAAGCAGCATCTCAGCTGCTTCTAAAAACTACTGCTAGCGACCTGCAATTTTGAAAAGAATTTTTATCACGAATCGTCTTTGACGTTTACAAAATTGTCACGAATGGTGTTTGAGGATTTTTTATGACATTAATAGGCTTTAGCATTATGACTTTTTATCATAAATAGTTCCTGCCATTAGAAATTCTATTAAAGATAAATAGAGCCCACATATTCAATCACATGTCACAATGTGGATGAAAAAATAAATAATTAATTTTTTTAATGAAAATTTTTTTTTTTTTTTCTGCAACTTTTCATCCCCTTCTGCTACTCCGTCTCTCTCCCCCTCTGCCCCCTCTCTCCCCCCTCTCTCCTCCCTGTCCTCTCCTTGTGGTAAAGAAAATGTATAGTTATAAAACTATATCTTTGTGGTAGAGAAAGGAGTGTATAGTTGTATATCATACAAAATAATATAACCCATTTTCAATAAATATAATAATATAACCCATATATCTTTCTACATCTTTGTATAGTTGTATATCATAACCCACAACCTGGGAATCTCCCTCTGTTCTTTCTTGCCCACTACACCCGCAAGCAAAAATGGTCACTGGGATTCTTTTAATGGTCTCTGTTTTTTTTAACACTGCCACCCGCAACCCAGCCCAACTCCCCTACCCTCTCCCTCTGTATTTTCTCTCCTCCCCTACCCCCTTCTGTTTTTAATTATTTTAAGTTGCTTGAATAAATGTTTGTGTAAATAAAATGTGAAACTACCTTGTGCAAGTGATTATTTTGCAAAATATACAAAAGGGAGAAGGGTGGGTTGCGGGTGGGCATGGGGTGGTCGGGTTGTAGAGGCAAGAAAATAAACAGAGGGAGAGGGAGCGCATAGGAAGGAGAGAGAGAGAGAGAGGCTAAATGGATTTTTAATGGATTTTCATCAAAAAAATATTTATTTATTTATTTATATAATACACATGTCATAATGTGATTGGACATGTAGACTCCACTTATCTTCCACATCAGACACTTAACAGAATTTCTAACAGCATGGATCATTTGTGATTAAAAAAAAAAAAAAAAAAAAAAAAAAAAAAAAAAACTTAATAACTATTAATGTCACAAAAAAACCTCAAAGATCATTCGTGATAATTTTATAAACGTCAACAACCATTTGTAATAAAAAAATAAGTAAAAACTTTTGGAAAAAGCAGTTTTGTCTTCATTTACCAAACACTTTTTCATTTAGAATTTTAAAATCACAACAACTCCAAACTAAGCCATATAAATACAGCTACAAGTCTACAACAAAGTTATACTCGGAAGTCCAAAGGAGAGCTTAGAACGACTTTGGTGAAGGTCTCAAGAAGCAAACATTCTTGTTATAGAGGTTTAAAGGAGTGATGGCTATCGGAAATTTCTCTTTACTTGCTGCTGCTGCAAGAAGGTATATTATAATTTATATATGCATCTATTTACCTCCTAAAATCTTATGATTTTCATTTTATCCTAACTTGTCCCAATTAAAACAAGATGATTGTATTCTTTTTTGTTTTTTCTTTTGTTGTCTAGGATGGTCGTAGTTGTCATGACTATGGCTCTGGTAACTGTCACGGCTGTGTCCTAAATTTCTTTTTGAATTCTAATTATGTTTAAAAATAATAATAATAAAAAGAGGATGAATTTAAGATGGAAAAGGAAATAGAATTAATTGATTTCAATCGGTCTTTGACTCCTGGCAAAAAAAAAACAAAAAAAAATGGGGCTGTGACTAATTAGTTGTTTTTCACAGAAAACAACACTCAGGGCATGTTTACGTATCAATAATGGGTATGGAAGGAAAGGGAATGATTTCCATTCTTGACTTCTCCTGTGTTTACTTGCAATCAGGAATGAAAAAATAAGTGGGCCCCACCTCAAAATCCGTAATCACATTCCCTCAAAACTAGGAATCAAATCAACTAAGGGGGAGTAGTCGATACGATTCCCATTCCTGTTTTCTCTTAATAACTTCCAAAAATACCCTTATCACTTTACCATAATTCTAAAATTAATTTGGATTCTGATTCATGCAAATTAGTAAACAATAACAATGGGAATCAATCATATTCCATTTCTAATTCCATATGTTTAGTAAACAGCTTAATGGGAATGATTCTTCCCATACCGATTCAGTAGTTCTCCGATTCTTAAATTCTTTGATTCCTTAGTTTCTCCATTACTGATACGTAAACATGCCAGTTAGGCCGACTACAAATGAGGCTGTGACTTAGTATTCCTAAAGCTTATTTGGTTGATGTCAAGAAATTTAATATGTATTTATTTTATGATAAATTTTATTGAAAATTAGTTAATGGAGCTATAAATTAGAGCGGTTTATATGATTTAATGTATATTTTTATTTATAGAAAAACTACAAAAATTGTAAGTTAAAAAAAATCATTAGATTTTAAGCTAAAATTTTTAGGAGCCCACCCATCGATAAATTCCTAGTTCTGCCCTAATCACATAAGGATAATGTGCATGAAAGACAAATAAATATTGAAGTTAATTACATTAAATCTCTTTGAGATATATATATATATATATATATATACTAGCCTCTCCGCATGCGCTTCCGCCCCTACGAGAGGTTTTTTTTTTAATAAATACTAAATTTATTTTAGAATTAAAAAGGATAATAGATAGCTGTATTCCATAAAATAGGATTCATTATCTGATTATTCTTTTAATTTTAATTTTTTAATATGAAAAAGTGTGAATTTGCCATATTATCCTCATTTAATTAATAATTTTAATTCTTAATGTTTGGATTAACCAAAGAAATTTTCTGGTATTTTGAATGTTTCACCATTCTTTGTTTTTTGTTATATATATATATATATATA